AAAAAAAAAAAAACTTAAATATTCTGAATTTAAATCTTAACAACTCTTTAAAACCTGTTTGATTAGTTAAATAATAATAGAAAATACAAAAAAATGAAAATTTTAAAATTTTTATGTATTTGATTAGTATGAAATGAAAAATAATGAAAAAAAATTCTGCATGGTTTGATTTTCTCACAACTAATTAATCTTTTTTTCTTGCAAAAAAAAACATAAGAAAAAATAAGAAAGTTGTTGTCTATAACCTAACTTTTCATTTTATCCTTATTTTTTTAAAAATATTTAATTAATTATTAATTTAAAAAAAAAACTTGATACAAATTTGACTAATCATATAATCTAATCTAAAAATCTGGGTTTTGAGTCGATCAATGTTCCAGAATTAGGTAAGGAGCAATTTTTTTTTTTAAATAATTTTTAATTATAATACATATTTTTTCTTCTTTAGACCAAGTTAACCTTATTAAGAATAATGCAGACAATTAGAACAATTTTCTACTAACTTTCATTTCTTTCAAATAATAAAATGAATTTTTGTAAAAGTTTTTCAGAAGTTTCACATACTTTACTTTTCATCATCTTTTTCTTGTTAATTAAACGAATCCTTAGAGTTAGATCATGAAAAATTTATCAATCCTAGGCGTGAATGATCTCTCTTGACCAAACTATCCTCGACCGAATTGTAAGAATTAATTAAAATAGACCTGGACTCTTAAAAAAATAAAACGTATCATTTTTTTTGGAAAAAATTATACTCAGATTTTTTAAAATTTATCACATAATTNATTGTCACTCCACCATCATAACTACCTCCACCCCCCACCCCCATCGTCCCACCATTATCACTAGCACCACCATTACCGTTGTCACCACCACCTCAACCTTAACAACCACCAACATCGTTGTCACCCCATCACCACCACCTCAACTTCAACAACCATCACCATTATTGTCACCTCATTACCACCACCACAGCCACTGTCCCACCACCATCATCACCACTACCACCACCCCCATCGCCCCACAACCATCACCACCATCACTGTTACCACCTCACCACCGTTGCCACCCCCAACAACCACCGTCGCCACCTTACCACTATCATCGTTGTTCCACCATCACCCCCATCTCATCATCATCATTGTCACTCACAACTACCATCATCACAATCAATCATCGTCACCCACAACAACCATCACTGTCTCTTACAACCACCACGACTGTCCACCACCGCTTGAACCCACTACAATCTGTGCTTAAATTCCTTTCGTTCTCATCTATCTTTGTAATTTGATTTTGCGTGTAAATACAAATATGATTATTGTCGACCATTTTTTTATTATTTCGTGCTTTCAGACATGAAAAATAACTTGTTTACTCGTAAAATACATATTTTTTTCATTGAACTAAATTTATCTCACTCTTGACAAGTCAATTCCTTAAACAAAGTTGTTTCCTCCTAAGTTAACATGCTAAACATTTTGTTGATCATNAATGTTATGATTAAGAATTGTTCATGTCACACAACGATAAAATAAACAGAACTGAATAATTTTAAATTTTTTGAAATTCTTACAGCTTCTGAGAGCGATTTCCACTTGTCTCCACCAGCTTTACCGACCTAAAAGACAGCAAACGGTATATTCATAATGTTCCAAGTTTCGAAAATATAAAAGAAATCAAAAGTCAAATAGTTAAATCGAAAATTTATGAAGCTTTCGGATGTGAGACATCACGAAATACTTACAACGGAGACGGATTTGTTGTTCGGATGCTTCTCTTTGTATTGCTTCCTGAAATCCTCCCTTAATTTGTCAAAATCACAAACAACAAATCAGAGAAGTCAGCACGCACGCACACATGTATATGCCTAGATCCAATACAAAAAGGAAACATAATAAGAACATCAAAGAATTCATACATGAAAACGAAGAAGGCACTAGCAGGCCTCTTTGGCATATTAGGATCCTTAGCGGACTTAGCCTTCTTAGTCGATGGCTTGCTTGCCGCCGGCGCGCCTCTCTTCTTCACAGAGAGCCTAAAAAAATCCAGGAGATCAGTCCTCGTCGTGGATTAAAACGAATCAAACATCAAACTTAAACACAGAAGATCATAGATCTGAAACTGTATTATCTCAAAATATACTCAAACACGAAGAAAGAAACTAAAACTCACTTGCTATCAGCTTTTTTCGATTCGGTCTTTGATCTACTTCCTTTCATGGCGAATCCTGCGACAAAAATATGAAAACCGGTGAGAATCGGTCGAGAATCGTTCAGAACCGGTTTGACTCGGCCGAGTTAGCGCCGCTTACCTCTAGGGTTGAGGCAGAGAGACGAAGAGAGAAAATAAGTGATATGCTTTGCTTTGGTGTGGTGTAGCGTAGTGTTGCGTTGCGTTGTGTTGTGTAGTGTTATGTGTGGTGAGGTGCGAAAGGGTAAGAGAGGGAGAGGGAAAGAGAAAGAGATAAGAAGAGGTTTGGGAAAATTAAAATTGAATCGCAGAATGAATTGAAGTCCGGGTTTGGGCGGGATTTCAAAAATTCTTCTGCCATGTCATCGATCCTGGTGCTTCCTCTCTATTCGCGCATTTCTTTATGGTTCCATTCATTCCACTTCCTTGTGTTTTCTCTGTGCTTCTTATAAATGATCTCCACCCTTTGTATCTAGTTTTCTGAACAGTATAAGACACGTGTCATAATCTGGTTGTAGGAGTATTTGACCGACCAAACCACACGTGTTAATGTGTCATGCTTTATCGTTGTAAATGACAAACTTGACCTTATTATAAAGACGGTTCGAGGCCGAGGGTGGGGAATTTTAATCTAAGGACAATTGAGTAAATTTGCTGTTCTAATTATTCTTCTATTTAATAGTGACTAGTTGATTACTATTTAGTATTATAGTTTTGATTTTAATTTTTTCATATTTATTTTATTGATCCATTTGCTAAAGACTAGAGCATTTGAATGCAAACATGAGACGTGGTTTAATTAAACAAAACAAATGTTAGAAATGAGAAAAATAAACAATGCACTTTTAGAGCTCCACTATCAATATAATAAAGTATAATATAATTTAAATTTTAATAGATAAACAAAATTATTTTTACTTTTTGAGTTAAAATCTCTTTAAATTTTATTTTAAAGTTAATCAGACAACTAATATTAACACCTCAAATTTAATAAAAAAAATAGGGTCTTAAGAGCATATTTGGGGCAACTATTTATAAAATTTATAACTTCCCTTAAGTACTTAAAAAAAAATAGTTTTTGAAACTACCCTGCCACCACCGCCCCACCANTTGAGACGTGGTTTAATTAAACAAAACAAATGTTAGAAATGAGAAAAATAAACAATGCACTTTTATAGCTCCACTATCAATATAATAAAGTATAATATAATTTAAATTTTAATAGATAAAAAAAATTATTTTTACTTTTTGAGTTAAAATCTCTTTAAATTTTATTTTAAAGTTAATCAGACAGTTAATATTAACACCTCAAATTTAATAAGAAAAATAGGATCTTAAGAGCATGTTTGGGGTAACTATTTATAAAATTTATAACTTCTCTTAAGTACTTAAAAAAAAATAGTTTTTGAAACTACCCTGCCACCACCGCCCCACCACCATCACCATTGTCACTCCACCATCATAACTACCTCCACCCCCCACCCCCATCGTCCCACCATTATCACTAGCACCACCATTACCGTTGTCACCACCACCTCAACCTTAACAACCACCAACATCGTTGTCACCCCATCACCACCACCTCAACTTCAACAACCATCACCATTATTGTCACCTCATTACCACCACCACAGCCACTGTCCCACCACCATCATCACCACTACCACCACCCCCATCGCCCCACAACCATCACCACCATCACTGTTACCACCTCACCACCGTTGCCACCCCCAACAACCACCGTCGCCACCTTACCACTATCATCGTNATCAATATAATGAATCTTATGTCTATCACCAAATCATAAGGCAAGTTAGAAAACCCATGGTTAAGGCTCTGCACCCTGTTGAAGCAATGAAAAATAAATTTATTTTTTCTACTTTGTTAGAGACAACCTTCTTGAATTATATAAAAAATTCAAGTTCCAAATTCGATCCGTTTACTTGACGGTTTTTAAAATTTTAATCCTTATCCGTATCTATTAATAATTGGGTATCTGATCCGATCTGAAAATTTAAATCTCAACTTTTTTTTTATCCGTATTTGTTAATAATCGGGTATTTGATTCGACCTGAAAAATTGAATCCCAACTTTGTTTTTATAAAAGTTAATAATTTTATCATATTTAAGATAACTTTCAACATAATTTGATCAACCAATCATTCTATTCAGTAATTTTTATTTAATTTCTTGTCAATCTCATTAATAATCTAACTATGTATGTATATGCAATAGCTTCTGATAGACTTTATCTTTATGCACAAAGTTCTCACGAATTGCAAGGTTTTTCAGACACCGATTGGGGTAGGAAACAGAAATGATAGGCGATTTGTTGGTGCCTATTGTGTTTTCCATGGCCAAAACTTGATTACTTAGAGTTGTAAGCAACAACTCACTGTTGCACAAAGCAGTACAGAGGCTGAATACAAGTCTCTGTCAAATACTACAGTAGAAATTCAGTGGCTTCAATCAATTCTTATTGATCTTGGTTTACCAATTCAGCATCCACCAAAACTTTGGTGTGACAATATTGGTGCAACTTACTTAAGTTTTAATTCGGTGTTCCATGCAAGAACAAAACACATAGAAATAGATTTTCACTTTGTGCGTGATCAAGTTCTTCAAAAGAAGTTACAGGTGTGCTTTCTATCATCCAAAGAACAACTAGATGATCTGTTAACCAAGCCCATAAGTTCAGTTTGTTTTCAACTACTCAAGAACAATCTTCATGTCCAAAAACTTCCCATTCAATTGTGGGGGCATATTGAAGCAGATATTTTCAGTATAACTAAGTCTACTACACAACAAGAGGATGAACCTGATCCTTATAAACTCTAGCTATCATATCCTTTTGAATGTTGAGTTGTAGAATTATTCAAACTCTATCAGCTGAGATATTGTAGGACAATTAGACTTTCATTGTTATAAATTTTACATGTTGTGTATATTCTAAAACAATAAAAAAATAGAGAGTTCTAATTCAAAACTCTACTGCAAGAAGAGGTATTATTATATTCTATCTCAAATGTATTATTATATACATTTATTATTATAACCTTATAACTGATAAAATTAAGCTGTCGTAAATATAACAAACATTGATTGAGAATATTTTTGTTAATTTAACATTAATATCATAGAATAATCTCCTAACCAAACAATCGATAATATTAAATAACTATCATCCAACGCGTATAATGTGTATTGCTAAATACTAGATAAAATTATATATTATTTTAATACTTTATTTAATCTTGTCTTTTTTATTTATCTGTATTGTATTAAATTACTAATTATTTTCCGTGCCTAAACACATGAACTAATAAAAAAAAATTGTCAATAATAAACATATTTGTATTCACATCTAAAATCAAACTACAAAAACAGAGAAAAAATAAATGAATTTAAATATCGGTTATAGTGGGCGAGCGAGCTGTGGTAGTGATGGTGAGCGGGCACTGATAATGGTGGAATACGGTGATAGCTTTGATAGATAATGATAATCGATTGTAATGGTGACAGTTATAATTGACAATGGTGATGGTGGTTGTAGGGCAGTAGGGGTGATGGTGGGATAGTGGCAGTGGTGATTGTGGTGGGGTGGTGGAGCTGGTGATGATAGAGGTGTTGATAGGACAGTTTCCAATCACTATTTTTTTTTAAATACTTATAAGAAGTTATAAGTATTAAAAACATTTTTAAAAAGTCACTCAAAATACACCCGTAAGCCCCTATTTTTCATATTAAATTTGGAGTGTTAATATTAGCCGTCAAATTAACTTTAAAATAAAATTTAAAGACATCTCTATCGCAAATAACAAAATTTATTTTGTTTATCTTTTGAAATTTGAATATTATTTTATTTTATTATATAAATATTATTTTATCTAATCCACTCATTTTTAATACAACAACCAAATGAGCCCTTAATGTAATATAAATTCACTTTTTTCATTGATAAAATATGTCATTTTGAATAAAATTTTTAGGCATAAAATCACCATTTCAAGTAACGATTTTAAAAAATGCAGAAATTTTAGAAAATAAGTTTCAAATTGCATTCTTTTGAAAATTAAAATTTGCCCAAAGCATGGTCGTATATGTCTTGGATAAGTATGATTAGTCTGGTGTCGGGCCCCCAGGGCCTCATCTTATGCTCTTATTGGGCTTGATGATTGATCCGGGACAATTATGGGCTAATAGTTGAAAGGGTTTCTTGATCGAGTACGATTGTATTGAACAGTGAACACTAAGATATTTCAAGTGGTAATGACCACGTGTTGAACTTAGATGTTCTGGTTGATCAAAAAAAAAAAAACTTAAATATTCTGAATTTAAATCTTAACAACTCTTTAAAACCTGTTTGATTAGTTAAATAATAATAGAAAATACAAAAAAATGAAAATTTTAAAATTTTTATGTATTTGATTAGTATGAAATGAAAAATAATGAAAAAAAATTCTGCATGGTTTGATTTTCTCACAACTAATTAATCTTTTTTTCTTGCAAAAAAAAACATAAGAAAAAATAAGAAAGTTGTTGTCTATAACCTAACTTTTCATTTTATCCTTATTTTTTTAAAAATATTTAATTAATTATTAATTTAAAAAAAAAACTTGATACAAATTTGACTAATCATATAATCTAATCTAAAAATCTGGGTTTTGAGTCGATCAATGTTCCAGAATTAGGTAAGGAGCAATTTTTTTTTTTAAATAATTTTTAATTATAATACATATTTTTTCTTCTTTAGACCAAGTTAACCTTATTAAGAATAATGCAGACAATTAGAACAATTTTCTACTAACTTTCATTTCTTTCAAATAATAAAATGAATTTTTGTAAAAGTTTTTCAGAAGTTTCACATACTTTACTTTTCATCATCTTTTTCTTGTTAATTAAACGAATCCTTAGAGTTAGATCATGAAAAATTTATCAATCCTAGGCGTGAATGATCTCTCTTGACCAAACTATCCTCGACCGAATTGTAAGAATTAATTAAAATAGACCTGGACTCTTAAAAAAATAAAACGTATCATTTTTTTTGGAAAAAATTATACTCAGATTTTTTAAAATTTATCACATAATTACTTAGACCTTTGACATTTAAAATATTACACACCTTTTACATTTAAAATTTGTACGCATTTAACACTTAGACTCTTGCCGTCAATATCCATTAGTGTACCTAACTTATACTGGTTCCTTAAAGTTGGTAGTCACGGAACACTTAATCATTCGAGTTTAAAATATTATATTTAAATCTTTATTAGTTACGAAAGTTATAAAATCTATTAAACAATTAAATTACTCTAATTAGGGATAGAATATATTGTATCCATCACACTTATTATTATATGTAATTCATATATTTGAGTAACTTATTGACTTAGACATTAAAAAGTCGATCTCCGGAGCTATTCTTTGGTCTCTGACTTTTTTTTTTCAAGTAATCGAAGTCCAATAAATTAATATGTTGGTCGTCCAAATTTTGACATCAATAGTATTGATTATAATTTTTTTAAAAAAAATTTGAATTTTTATTTTTGATTTTATTTGAATAATAACGTAATAAAACATGAATTTTAATTTTAAAATTTAAAATATTTGATATTTTATCTTCAATTGAAATATTTTTAATATAAATGNTTTTTCTTGTTAATTAAACGAATCCTTAGAGTTAGATCATGAAAAATTTATCAATCCTAGGCGTGAATGATCTCTCTTGACCAAACTATCCTCGACCGAATTGTAAGAATTAATTAAAATAGACCTGGACTCTTAAAAAAATAAAACGTATCATTTTTTTTGGAAAAAATTATACTCAGATTTTTTAAAATTTATCACATAATTACTTAGACCTTTGACATTTAAAATATTACACACCTTTTACATTTAAAATTTGTACGCATTTAACACTTAGACTCTTGCCGTCAATATCCATTAGTGTACCTAACTTATACTGGTTCCTTAAAGTTGGTAGTCACGGAACACTTAATCATTCGAGTTTAAAATATTATATTTAAATCTTTATTAGTTACGAAAGTTATAAAATCTATTAAACAATTAAATTACTCTAATTAGGGATAGAATATATTGTATCCATCACACTTATTATTATATGTAATTCATATATTTGAGTAACTTATTGACTTAGACATTAAAAAGTCGATCTCCGGAGCTATTCTTTGGTCTCTGACTTTTTTTTTTCAAGTAATCGAAGTCCAATAAATTAATATGTTGGTCGTCCAAATTTTGACATCAATAGTATTGATTATAATTTTTTTTAAAAAAAATTGAATTTTTATTTTTGATTTTATTTGAATAATAACGTAATAAAACATGAATTTTAATTTTAAAATTTAAAATATTTGATATTTTATCTTCAATTGAAATATTTTTAATATAAATGTAATATTTTAAGCTTAAGGAGTCTAAGTGTTACATGTCTATAAACTTTAGGAAATTTATGAATAATTTACTACCAGATAGATTAACGGATATTGACGACAGAGTTCGAGTAATATGCGTGTTAAAACGTTAAGGGGTTTGTATGTAATATTTTAAATATCACGAGTTTAAGTAGTTAAATTATAAACTTTAGGGGATCTGGTGTAATTTTCCCTTTACTTTTCCGTATGAAAAAGAGGAAAAGAGGAGATTGGAGGTTTTCAACTGATCTGATCCGCTACGATAACGGGGAAGCTAATTGAGATCGATAAGCAAACCGGCGAATCAATCTCAGTGATGAAATAATCAGCAAGAAAAAATGGAAGAAAGCCTTGAAAAACATGCGAAATCTCTAGCAGCTCCAATCATATTCGTCGTCATTATCGCTTTACAGTTTGTCTCCCGATACCTAGAACTACACAAGAAGGTATACACTATATATGAATTTCTCTATGGTTTCTTGTGTATTTTTTATTTTGTTTCTTTGTATCAATGTATTGGAGAATTAGGGCAATTTCGATAGCTGAACGATTGGTTTTGTATTTACGAACTTTTTGGATCGTCATTGGCTTTATGGTTTTGTTGTTCTTTGCTGTATTTTTTTTCCCTTCAGAAAGGATCGCCGAGTGAGGCGGATATTCAGTTGCGCGCCGAGATTAAGCAACTCTTAAAGGAGGCAAGCGCGTTGTCCCAGTGAGTGAATTCTTCGTGAGTTGCATTAATATTTTAATGCATCCCTCAATTTACATCTTGTGTAAAAGCTCAATCAATATATATATACTATTTATTTCCCATGTACAAAGGCACGGAGTAATAAAAAGAAATGGTCAACATATTTATATTTATACTCAAAATTAACAAACATCGAGGAGAAATAAAACAATTTAAGCACCACTTGTAATGGGAGTGAGCGGTGGGCGACAGTTGTGATGGTGAGAGATGGTGATGGTTTGTGGTGGGTAAGACGACGGCCATGGTAGTGGTAGCAGCTGTGGGTGGCAATGTTGATGGTGGTGGTGAGTTTTGAGTGACGATGATGGTAGTGGTAGTTGTGGGTGATAACGGTGGTGGTGGTGGTGGTGGTTTTTGAGTGACGATGATGGTAGTGGCAGCTATGGGTGACAACGGTGATGGTGGATGACAGTGGTAGTGGTGTTGGTGGTGGGACGATGGTGGTGGTGGGCGGCGATGATGGTGGGCAGTGATGATGGTGGGCGGTGATGATAATGTATGATCTTGCTCTCCACTAATAGCATGAGCCAAATGACATCAGTTTGGTAAGGATTTATATATCACCTGTTGCCCCACTGTCGGGACAAAAAAAAAAGGAGGAAGAAGAAGAGATAGACGAAGAAGGAAAGAAACGAGATGAGGGTGAACACTTGTAGTTCCTTACGGCTGCCATCACTATCCGAAGGTGATATTGGGTGGATTTAACTGGATATTAGGTCCTGTCTTACCATATTCTTGTTCTACATTTGTACCTTGTAGCTTTTGCTGTCACGGTATTTCTAGGTTCTGCTGCAAATTCCAATATATCCTTGTCAGATCTCTGTTTCTGATGTTAAATATTACTTATATAGGAAGAAACTGGCTTGACAGCTTGAAGTTCGTGTCTGAATATGACATTCCTTTTGCCAATTTTTTCCCAAAGCAGTTTAGGGTTGATGTATAGGTGCATACAACTAGCATTTTAGTAAAAAAAAAATGCTGAATACTATGGTTGTCATGAAGTTTTCTCTGTTTTGAGCTTTCAGTTTTCGAGATTGTGGTCCATTGTACTCTGTTTTGTTGAAGTTTCTCAAACTTCTAGGCAAAAATAATGGGGGAATTTCATAAATCATTTTATACGTAATGACCCTCTTCAAACCCCCACAATGCTGGAGCCTAGAGCGTGGGCTGCCATTTTTATCAGTACACTATAATAGAATATGTGACATGGAAACTTATGTTTCTTTGTTTATTGCAGGCCTTCAACATTTGCACAAGCTGCTAAACTTAGGAGGATGGCAGCAGCGAAGGAGAAGGAACTCACGAAAAGTATGTAATTTGTTGAGAAATTACATTTTATGAGGCTTTCTGGAGGCAGCTTTTCTTTTATTCTTGTACTATTCTTTTCCTTAGACCTGTATGGAACATGTAGAAAGTTACAGAGGAAAATCACTTGATGCACAATCAAATTGGCTTTCTTGAATAATGGTGAAAATAACAAAATCACGTCGCAGTTGATGATTGGTAGCTTGATTTTTAACTTTGTCAAGGCACATAGACTTTTATAATGAACCTTAAAATTGGTTTGTGCACATCATATAGTTTTATGGGCATGAATTTTGAAGGAATGAGCAAATAAATCAAAAAATGGCCAAATTTTTGGCAATGTAGTTATCAAGGTTCCCTGTGCCCAGAAATGAACCTCCTAGCAGACTGTTGGAGTCTGTCTCTAGTTACTGTGAAGGGAGATAGGGAATTTTGGCTTTTGGGGCTCAAGTTTTTCTTCTTTATGTGGGGGGGGGGAGAGAGAGAGAGAGATGGGCAGGTGAGTAGACATCACATAGGTGGTGAGGCATTATTAGGGGAGAGAGGAAAAGATTCTGTCTATTTTTATCCCATTACTAGTATGCCCTTAACATTAATGATTACTATCTTTTATATCAGTGGTAAAAATGTCCAAAACAAACATAGTAATCATAAATGAGCTGGCTCGGCTCTTATACAGAACGAGCTTGGATAGATTCAACTTGTTGTAAAAAACGAGGGAGCTTGAACGAGGTAAAAACTAGCCGAGCATGAGTTACTCGTTTGCCCTAACCATTTGGTTACGTTTTTTTGGAAATATATTTTTTAACCAAAAATTCAATTCAAAACTTTAATTACTATTATATATATGAATCTTATTATGTAAAAATTTTATTCATAGATATGTGGATACATTCAATTAAGTTTGGGGAGGGGAACAATCTCAAATAAGAAAAGGCAAAAAAACGAACATGAAAAACAACTGCTACTTTAGAAAATAGTTTAAAAAAAAAACATTTAAGAAAAGTGTTAAAAATCGGTACGTGAACCATTTGTTTCAATTGACATTAAAATCCGTGATTCATGAATCACTTAACTTGAAAAATAGAAATAAGAGGATGATTATTAGGTTTAGTTTTTTTCCGCGCTCTACCAACTTGGCTCTGATTGTTCGGTTGGTATGATGAAACACTGGAAGGATGAAAAATAGGATGGATGAATGAAAGTCATGTTTGGTTATGAAGGAAAATTGGAGGAACCAATCTTCCTTCTAACTCATAAAAATCTATCGCTTAATAATTGTATGGAAAAGTGGAAGGAAAACTAATTATGTGTCGAAAAGTAGAAGAAAAGTTAATTATGTATGTTAAAATATAACTTATTACATATTATATATATTTTAATTTTGTATGTGGATGCAAGTAAACCACGAATGTATACTCTACCTTCCATACCAAATATAAAAAAATCAATCCCTTCTATTTTCTATCCCTATTACCAACACAAAGGAGAGAAAGAAGGTTTCTATCGTTGGAGGATAGAAAGTGTATTTCCCCTACCTTTTTTTCCTTCCATTTTTAAGTTGTTTGATCATTATAATGCTCTTGCCGGCTTCCTTTTTCATGTCTCCATTGTTAAGCCTGTCCCTTATCTATACATGCCCATTCATTCCCAAACTTCGGGTGCCTTGACTTCTACCCTCGTGATCTGATCCTTGAGCTCTAGATATCTGTAATGCTGAACCCATGGTTTATCTTAATTGTGATCCCAACTCCCAAGAGTGTTTTATAGAATTCTTAAGAAGAGTGGGAAAAAAAAAAAAAGATTAGTTTCAGAGTTGGTTGTCTATCTTGAATTCATGTTACTGATTTAGTCGACTAAGTTTAGCCTTCGTCTTAGTAGATGTGGTGTTCCTTATCATCTTAGAAGATAAGTTGTAATAAATAGGGAGCAGAATAGAGATGTACATGTGCATGCTTCAAATGGTCAAGGCATAATAGCCTGTGTTAAAGCAATTAGCCCTTTTTCGACCATGCTTGTGAGTTTCATTTGTTAATCCTATCGTAAATTTTATCTTCTGCTTGTTTTGTTCTCACTTTGTCTACTTGGATGTATCTTGTATGGGTGGAAGTTTTTTACTACTTCACATGACATGCAGATCAAGAGTTGCACAGCAAGGAGATGAAATTGTCATATGATTCATATGTAAAATTTCTTATGATATCAAAGGTGATCCTAGGAACATTTTGATGCTTAAGAGGTTTTCATGTTTCCTTTATTCATATTATGAGATATTTATTCATACTGTCACCGCCATACAGGTTTTTACATATTTTGTTCTGATTTTGTGGTTTTGGCGGATTCCTGTTGCTGCCGTTTCTGAGCAACTTGTGCAACCCTTTGGTAATCCTTCTTGTCCCTAGAATTTAAATTTATGTCAGAGGCAATCTTTTGTTCCTTAGCTCCATGAAGTTATGGTGTATGAACTCTAATAGGAATTTATTTACTTATGACTTTGTGACTTTTTAATTTCTTACTCTAGTTGGCAAGTGATAAACTTATGATAGCTCCCACAAGCTTTAAGTCAGGATAAGCAATCATGATTTCATTGATAATAAAAGAAGGTTGAGAAAAGTACAGCATAATTATGATTCAACAAAACTCACCTTTTTTTGCAGGGAAGATATTATCTTGGAGAGCTGGAGGTTCTTTGAACGACAATGTCATGGTAAATGAAGTTCAAATTTGCTGTTCTTACTGTAATTTTTAGTTGGAGAAAATTTATAATGAAGATTGTCCTACTACCAGTCTACCTGCCCTCATAAGTTTCCAAGCCAGGTCAAGAGTTTAAGTTGTCTCAGTTTTTTTTTTTTTCGGTTTTCTTAGAGAGATAGGGGGAGAGAGAATTTTTATGCTTGAAATTTTTAATGGGACAGGGTGCTGTATGGGTGATCCGTGTCCTATAATTCGGGTATAGGTGTATTGGATCTAAGTGTTAGCAGTCTGTTAGGTGACATGAACAACCATACAACTACCAAAATACTGTCTGTGATAGTTCTGCTGAACTTTGTGGGAAACTATGTTGTTCACAAATTTGGAAGATCTATTTGGAGTAATTCTTGCGGAAAAGAAAAAAAGGCTTGTTCATCAATGCACTCATTTTTTTTTGTCTCTTTTTAGTTTTTTACTGTTTTCCTTTATTGTAGGGGCATAAAATTTGTACCGTTATCACAATGCAGCTGCCAGTTTTTTTGTGTGTGAGGTTGTCAATTATGTCTAATGTAATTGCAGGTTGGGATCATACCTTGGTTGGTAGTATCTACCAGAGTTAGCAAATTTCTTTGTCGAAAAGTGTTCAAATAGGAAGAACAAGGGATTTTTTAAGTGGAGAAGGATTCAGAGCAACCTTTTGTTCCTTTTTGTGTCGCCCTGTATTTATCTTCATTGTCATTTTTCAGTAAGCTTGTATGTAGATTCAGTTCAGTTTAGTGATCGGAAGAATCAACCTCTTGTAAAACCTTTTCTCTATGTTTACTGTCCAAATGGAAGAATGAGGTTGACTGGTGTATATTGAATTTTTTTTTTTTGTCGGGTACTATTACTGGGGAGAGGAACAACGAGTTTCAAACCCGGGATCTAGTCCAACAGGGATGATAGCCATTAGGCCAACTGTTAACCTTGTTGTATATTGAATTTATATGCATTAATTTTATGATCTTTGGAATTTGACATCTTCCAATATTGTTTTTCCTATAATGGATGAACTGTGTTTCACATTGCACGTGCTACCTACTTTATTGACAAAGGTGGGGGGATAATTACAACTGACAGGTCCTATGGTCTGGACTGATTTCAAAGGGTTCCTCTATGGTTTCAAGTATTTATATCGTGAACCCTCTAGTTGGTGTTGAATTTTAAGGGTACCCTTCTTCGTCACGATGAATCGATGGTGATGGTTGCGATGATGTCATTGATTTTTTTGATCTCAAAATACCCATTTTGCCATTATCACTAATGTTAAACTTTTTTATTTGAAAAGAATACTAAACCAACCCATTGTTAAAGATGGATGATTCAATCGAGGAAAATATGAGAATCTTCAAATTGACAAAATTCAGATAAAGTTTTGTAATGGTTGATAGTTCATCACTGATGATCAGTAATACCATATTAATACCTTTTTATGTGATCAATAGTGCAATATCATAGTTTTAATCTTTTGTTTTAATAAAGTTGAGTACACAATCATTTAAAATACTTAAAATTAAGCAATATACAAATAATTGAGTGCAAAATAGGAAAATAAAGAAATTGTTGAATTTTTTTTTTTTTTAAGAAATGGATATGCAGATATGTCACTCAATATATTCGCCAGGAAATATTATCTCTCTGCACCACACAACTATTTGTATAAGAATCCATTGCACCTACATTGGGGTTGAAACTAAGGTTTTACCGTGTGCTTAGGACATTGAAGGATAAGTTTAGCCCCACCGAACTATCACAGAAGTTGATAAAATCCGATGATCCAAGTTCTTACTCACTAGACCAACCGCTTGATACGTAGGATAGCGAAAAAACGTTGAACAAAAATAGGTGTATTGTTTCGGATTACGTTGTTATTTTTTTATTTGATTGAGAGAGTGCAATCTCAAAAAAATTATATTTTATAGTATAAATTAACAATTTGAAGATTTTTTAAAATATAAAGTGTCATTCACCCTAGATTTTATTAATATTTGGGATATTACATCCACTCTATTACACTTCCCCGCAATTTAAGACAAAAAAAAATGCATCTTACCACAACAAACTACTAGTAGCGAAACATTGAAGCCATCAAAACTCCATGAAGGGGCGATGACTGATGTTGAGGATAAATCTCAGCACCCAGCTCACTGATGTTTACTATTAACTTCAATCCCCAACAAATCAAGCGTGGCTAGGAGAGGTTGCCAACAATGTTTCGAAGCAGCTTGACCCAATAGTCTGTAATGGTTGATTCATGTCATCAACGATTTGAAAATTAATACGCTCAAAATCCAAAAAGATTGTTTGAGATCATATATTCTCTTTTCACTTGCAAAAAATGTCAAATGCTTTGGTTATCAACTTCTTTTCCTTTTATATTAATGTTTTGTTTTTTTGTTTTTATCAATAACTCAACCCAATTATTGACAGCCTCCAACTTCCGCTCTATCTCCTTCAAGAAATCCTAACTATTTCGAAAGCCCATCAACCCGTTGATGATTAGCCACATCAACAAGTGCAACTTCTTTCCAAATAATAAATATTAAAAATGTAGAGAAAAATAATTGAAATTTATTAATATAACAAAATAAATTTTCAAATAATGAATGTCACTACAATTTTTGAACAGTAAGCTAATGCAACCCACTACAACGAAAGAAAAAAGCCTCGAATCTAAGTTAAAACTTTGTTGCTTGCTTCTTGGTTCTTATAAATGAAAACCAACACCTATTTATAAATCTTTCATCTTACCATGAATGAGTATGATATTACCAAATATTTATTATACATTTATGGTGCCTCTAAAATCTTTTGTGCAAATATCTAATCTTTTAATATGTATAAGAACATTTTAAGTTTTTCTCATACTTTTTCTTATATTCCTAGAATGTTCTTTAGAGAGTTTAAATAGGAAATTTTTTTTTTAAGAATCCTCTAAAATATTATTTTTAGAGATCTTAAAATTAAAAAACTAATCCTAAGGTTCTTTGAAATTTTCAAGAAGATGGGATGTTAGAAAAAGAATACTAAACCCACCCATTGTTAGAGATGGATGATTCAAATTGAGGAAAATAGGAGAATCGACAAATTGAGATAATCCAAATAAAAATTTGTGATGGTTGATATCCACTTCTACGAGTCAACTCCAATTTAAGTAATGAAAGTTATGCATCGAAAATAGATCGTTAGTTCATCACCGATGATCAACAATTTTGGGTATCGAAAGGATACTATTCCAAATCGTTGGAATTAGATCTTAGGACAAATGACAGTTTGCATCTCAAAANAATCAATAATTTTGGGTATCGAAGGGAAACTATTCCAAATCGTTGGAATTAGATCTTAGGACAAATGACAGTTTGCATCTCAAAAAATTTAAAGCATTTCAATTCACACACTAAAAAATTAAAACTAGGAAAAAATTTAATCACACCCTTCTAATTTACTATATCTTCAAAAATACTCTCTATATTATCAAAAACATCATTGACGCCCCTTCTAGTTTATATTTAAACACCACACATACCCCTGTCATTAAAATACCAAAAANCTTCTAATTTACTATATCTTCAAAAATACTCTCTATATTATCAAAAACATCATTGACACCCCTTCTAGTTTATATTTAAACACCACACATACCCCTGTCATTAAAATACCAAAAATGCCCCTTCATAAACTCCAAAACAATCTTTCTACATAAAATTCGAGCTGATTAAAATTATGTTTTCTACATATTAAANAATGCCCCTTCATAAACTCCAAAACAATCTTTCTACATAAAATTCGAGCTGATTAAAATTATGTTTTCTACATATTAAAATTTAAGCCGATTAAAATTTGATTTAAACTGATTAAATTTTAATTTTTTTACGTATTAAAATTCGAGCTAATTTGAGCTTTACTTGAACTATTAGTGCCGATTAAAATTTATATTTTTTTACTTATTAAAATTTGTGCCAATTAAAATTCGATTCAAGTTTGTTAAAATTTATTGTTTATGTATTAAAATTTAAGTAGATTAAAATTTATATTTTTTATGTATCAAAATTCAGACTGATTAAAATTCAACGCAAATTAATTAAAATTTGATTCGATTTGATTTTTAATCGGTTCAAATTTTAATACATAAAAAATATAATTTTTAATCAACTTGAATTTTAATAAATAAAAAATAAATTTTAATTAATTCGAATTAAATTTTAATCTGTCTAAATTTTAATATATAAAAAAACTTAAAAAAATAGAGGGGATCTTATTAAAGATATGTTTATCTAGAGGGGGTGTGGATAAATTTTTTTCATAAATATATCATGGGCAATTTAGTAAAATTGTATTCTAATTTAATACTTTTAATGTGATAGAGGGTGTTAGTGAAAATTCAAAAAATTGAGAAAGTGTCCTTGAAAATATAATAAATTAGAAGGAATGTGGCTGAAATTATCTCTTCAAACTACGATATGACTCTATTGATCACATANAAGTGTCCTTGAAAATATAATAAATTAGAAGGAATGTGGCTGAAATTATCTCTTCAAACTACGATATGACTCTATTGATCACATAAAAAGGTGTTAATATGATATGCTTTAATAAAGTTGAGTACAAAATCATTTAAAATACTTAAAATTAAGCAATATACAAATAATTGAATGCAAAATAGGAAAATATAAAAACTATAGCAAAATAATATTTTTTGGCATAAGAAATGATTATGCACATAGGTCACTCTACATATTCGTCAAGTAATATTGTTCAACGGCGTCACATAGCTATTTGCATGAGACACCAACGCACCCGGAGCCAAGCTTTAGCCTGCGGGGGCCATGGTCCCCACTCAACTTTTTAGAATTATATTTTATACTTCTAAAATTGGCCCTCTCAAGTTGAAAAATTATATTTCAACTCAAAATATATTCTTGTTTTTCACTTTGCTTGACCCAGTTTTGTGAACTGTTTTAGTTCAAAATGTAACAATTTGAGCACAATTAAAATTTACCAATTTGTGCAAAAACTTAGCAATTGAATAATTAATGGTGCAACAAAAATTTTGATAGCTCAACAAATGGCTCTATTGAATGAATTTTTCTGGCTATGACACTATTCGGGCCCACTCAGGATAAAATCCTAGCTCCACCCTTGATCGATATTGGAGTTGAAGTTGAGGTATTACCGCATGTTCTAGTAATTGAAAATTAGGTTTAACCCTGCCGAGTTGCTGAAGTTATGACACCTCGAATCCAAGTATTGGACAAGAAAATCTAAGTTTTAACCCACTGTACCAACCACTCGATAGTATAGTAAAAAAAAAAATAAGTTTTAACTCATTGTACCAACTGCTCAATAGTATAGTAANTCTAGTAATTGAAAATTAGGTTTAACCCTGCCGAGTTGCTGAAGTTATGACACCTCGAATCCAAGTATTGGACAAGAAAATTTAAGTTTTAACTCACTGTACCAACCACTCGATAGTATAGTAAAAAAAAATTAAGTTTTAACTCACTGTACCAACCGCTCAATAGTATAGTGAAAAAATGTTGAACAAAAATAGGTTTATGGTTTTGGATTACATTGTTTTATTTGATTGAGAGAGTGCAATCTCAAAAAAATTATATTTTATGGTATAAATTGAGATTTTGAATTTTCAGAGTCTAAAATGTCATTCACCGTAGATTTTATGAACATTTGGTTTATTACATGCAACAACGGGCTAGGCCGCTCCTAGAAACTCACAATATCGGAAGTGATTAATGAGTNTTTATGGTTTTGGATTACATTGTTTTATTTGATTGAGAGAGTGCAATCTCAAAAAATTTATATTTTATGGTAGAAATTGAGATTTTAAATTTTCAGAGTCTAAAATGTCATTCACCGTAGATTTTATGAACATTTGGTTTATTACATGCAACTACGGGCTAGGCCGCTCCTAGAAACTCACAATATAGGAAGTGATTAATGAATNTAGATTTTATGAACATTTGGTTTA